ATAGTTAATTACTTACGTACTATATAGTATATATATATAATAATATACTTTATTATAGATATATATATGCAAATGAACACACACACACACACACACACACACACATACACACACACACATATATATATATACATTGATATGCATATTGATATATATATCGAAGAGTATCCACTCGTCCGCCATCAATTCATGCGATTGTATACATCATGTCGTATCTTGATACTTGTTCTTCTTGACAATTATATCTGAGAGGCTGAATTCCTCTTAGTATTGAAATTGTAAGTTCTAGATTGTTGCTTAGCAATTTTACGCGACCTCATGAGATTGCTGATATTGTATTTCACTGTGTTCACATCTGGCATGAAAACCGCAACCCGCTCAGCTACCAATTTTGTAAGAAGTTCATCTCAACGCAATATTGTACAAACCTTCTCCACCTCTACAGGATTTTATGACCGATGATATGCCACAAATCACAGTCAATGAGTGGGTGCCCGCCATCCTGTCATCGAATATGTCTACAAGCGAGTGGGTCCGTTTAGCAGAAGAGATCACGGATGCATACTATGACTACGATGGATTTGTCGTAGTGCACGGTACGGATACCATGGCATACACTGCCACCGCTCTGAGTTTCATGCTGGAGTCTCTGGGCAAGCCCATTATCTTCACAGGCTCTTGTATACCCTTTTGCGATGTGCACAGTGACGCAAGGAGGAATCTGATTGTGAGCTTGGATTATGCTTGTGTAGATTATCTGTGTGAGGTTTGCATCTTTTTCAACAACACCCTTCTGAGAGCCAACCGGGCCACCAAGCACAACACCGGCAGCTTGAATGCTTTCGAGAGCTTCAACTATCCACCGTTGGGTGTACTTGGCGTACATTTGAAGCTCAAACGAAGCCTGTTACTACCTACGCCCAAGACGCGCTTCAGGCTGCACACCAAGATGGATAAGAATGTGCTACAGCTGCGCCTGACGCCTGGATTCTCCGATCGGCTCATACAGAACGCCTTACAGCCCCCATGCCGAGGGGTCGTGCTACAGATATACGGAGCAGGGCAGTACCCGGACAAACAAAACTTGTGGTCGATACTCAACTCGGCCGCCAGCCACGGTGTGATCGTAGTGCTTATCTCCCAGTGCCACGTAGGATATGTGGACTTCGCGAACAACTGGGAGTTCAATTCTCTCAAACACACCAACTTAGTACAAGGGGGCGATATGACGAGTGAAGCTGCGTGTACAAAGCTCGCGTATCTCTTAGCGCTTGGTCTACCGTTCTTCGAGGTGAAGAAACTGATGCGCACGGATTTGAGGGGAGAGCTGAACACAGATGCAGCCAAGGATGTCATTGATTCGCTGAGTTTGCACCGGTCTTCGTTTATGAAGGACGATGATATGCCTTCTATGGTAAATAAACAGGTGCTGTACGAACAACAAGTGGACGTACCAGAGGAGTTCGTATTGCCGGACTCCGTTGCATCCCTGAGTCTGAAGACGAAATTGATCGACTAACCATATTGTATATCTATAGAATGCATTCCTTTAGGCGCTTAATATTAATAAAAATTTGGTTGTTGACACTTATGACGTGAATCGGTGTCTACATCATCTTGCGCTTGCTAGGATTCAAGGCACATATACGCTGTACGTAGGAGCAAATTTGCACAAGGCAAAGTAACCGTTGCTAAGGACCAGTTTGAAGTATCTGCAACTGTAGAGCTGTGTGAGAAGGTATCAGAGACAACGGAATTCCATTCACAACGACGTTTATAAATAGATATGATTTCGACTACCACAAATCGTGTCCAAACGGGCGTAGATAGGAAGGTGTTATTGACGTTTCACACTGCCACTGCCCATAGGCCACGTTCGCTTCATTTGAGATACGGATTTTGCTGCACTTGAAGTTGTTTGAATGCACATTCTAGCTTGATAAGAAACTGTATGGAAAACTACCTCAACGATACATCACAAAACAGCTGCGACATTGCGTCCATCCTTATCAAACAACCTGGGGGTTGGAGGCTGGAGCACACAGTTAGTAACCGGTGTAGACGACACACAAGTGCACGGGATTCTTATCATACTACGAACACACAAAATAATTATCATTGAACTTAAGCTATCCACGTATGGAAGTGTGAAGGAGCAATGAGCCTGAACGAACAACAAGGCACAATGGTCCTAATTGAGGTGCATTCACCCTTGAACTATATAGATGAAATATTGAAATCTATACACCAACGCAACGATGAAGCGTGTATGCGGTGTTGGCCTGTGATACAACTTATATTCACATTTTTATATACTACAATCTTCGTATTTAGATATTTGTATCGCACAGACGCGACTCGCGCGAGTGTCTCGAAACGAGCTACGACTCACTAATGCGGTATATATATAATACATATTCTGCAATATGTATTAGGAGCATACATAGCCCCGCTCGAATTCAAGTTCAGTCGGTGGTGAGTGGTCTTTTATAAATAAACAACTGTGAAGTGTCGGGAGACTATGTATTTTTCAATATTTGATACTATCTTTTTTATCATAGCCTAAATTATACATACAGTCTGGTGTACACGAAAGCCTTTCACTGCTGGCAAGGACTTATGTGAACAGCGAGTAACTAATTTTGTACCAGTGATGGTACATACCGTGTAGGCGAGTGATAACACTATCCGTAAGCACACTCTCTCTGTCTACAGCAACGATGGATCTAGACCTCGAGTTAGATGTAGATGATCAAGGTGGCGAGGATGGTGGCGAGGATGATGTACACGAAGACGATAGTCTGGACATACCGGCTTCGCTGGAGGATCGCAAAGTCAGGGCTAATCGGCTCAAAGCGGCTGTTCTTTGGACTGTGGGTAACATCTGCGACGAAGAGGTGAGTGGGTTTGCGAGTCCAGTGTATTATCGTTCTTCACATTGATCTAGGCACCCAAACCGTTATGTCTCCTGCTGAGTGTGTCGGTTTAATGACCCCGTTGAATAATAGGAAGGGGATCTCAAATGCTGAGAGTATGATTGTACAACATGGTGGTACGAGTGTGTGCGCTCATCCGATATGCTCTGGAAGAACAAACTGTTTATTTCTGCCGTACTGTGTTCAGCGGTTGGGCTTGCTTTTCGAGTGTATATACGCATGATATGTTTACAAGGTTCATCGCCAAATCTTTGTACGCGAACAGAATATCAAGAAGGTAGTATCGTACGACTGTTACGACTATCTCCCTTATTAGATTCATATGATATGGACGCACATATATCCACAACTGCAGCAAGCGCTATTCAGTGCTCCACCTCCTCAGTAGCGAGTATGCCTTGTCTACCCTCTTCCTCCTATTGATATCTGCGATCTCAACTGTCATTGTCCCACACCTTCCCTCAGGCCAATGAACGATCGGTGACGTTCAGTAGAGAGTTTGTTGCGGTGCTGGCGCTGCTGACCTTTGAGGTGAGTCGATCACTAGCGTCATCGGTCCCATACACTGGATCGAAACTAAACTTGAGCCACTCTCACAGTCGTTTGACATGTACTTCACAGTTTTAGGAGTCAAAAGATATGATGTCCTGTGTTTAATCTGCACATGTGTTGGCTTGTGGGGACTGAAGATCCCACCTGGACTCGTATATATATCGTTGCTCGTAGATGCGACAGTGTCGTGTACTACCCTAAACCCTGTCTGTAAGCTATAGCGCGTACCATCATACATCTGCATGTTCTCTGATGTGCTCAAACACGGGTGTCGCAGGTGAACCGAGTACCATAAACGCGTGATAGTTGACATAGCACGTTTTCATATACGTCCCGCTTGTTAGACATTTTATGTGACGCGAATCTTTTGTAGGTACGTATGATCAATTATAGATGAATAACCGGGTTTATTAAGACCTCATGATTGGCTTTCAAGAAACGTCACTGATTTGCACCTTGTTCCTTTCCTACTAGCACGCAGAAACGATCGCCGGTGATCTTGAGGCCTTTAGTAGGCATGCCAAGTAAGTCCAACCAGATCTGCTTGTTTTTCGTTTCTGGACACCTCTCGGAAGTGTCATATATCGAAATCTACTTGCCGCCAGGTGACATGCATGCGCACGTTTACTTATGTACTACACACATGCTATCCAGTACGCCGTTCTTCAAAGCGACATCGTATGGACTTGATTGGGCAAAAAGCTTCTTGTTCAAGCTCCGGCAGTTTGGATAATCATTGTGTCAAGCGGTTGTTTTATTCAGCCATCTCTAGCTAATTCCGCACCGGACGTAGCATATTGTCAGACTAATAACCTCGTGTATTTGCTGCTTTAATCAATCGCACATCGTGCACATGAATTGGCGGCTTTTCCTTACTTCCTTCGGAGATATACATCTTCTGCGAAGGGTACTGTCTACATTTACATATCACTAAGCTACCGCCTATCCAATACATTTTATTTCATCCTTGGTGGTCACAGACGGAACACCGTCAATGGAGACGATGTACTGCTGCAAATGCGAAACTCGCCGGAGATCAAACAGCACCTCAGCGCAATGCTGGAGACTATCATGACTGAGAAGAAATCCGCGATACAGAAGAGGAAGAATAAGCCGCCTACTTGATGCATGTATGCATATCAGCCTATGCTGAAGTACCAGGATTGCCACGATTTGGCAAATCTGCAGATTTGGAGAACGTTCATTCAATCCAACGCATTGGATAAGGAGAGGATGGTCCTGAACTCCCAGCAGCATTATCATACATAGTGATTGTGTGCTTAACCTCATACCAAGTAAAGCCCAAAATCATGAATGTTCATATACATGTCAAGGTGTAGGGGTCCAAAATGTCAATAGCTGAAGTGAACTCCATCTCCTACTTGCATGAGCATCGCAAGTCTCCCAGAGCGGAGCATTATTCCGTATTACGGGTCGATGAGGAGGTATATGTGAGATGTCAGCACGAGGTAATTTCGTATCCTACCTCGCAATGATACGGCGACTATTTTCAGATTCACTTGGGATTTACACCCAAAGTCAACAGAAAAACGGCAAAATTGCTATGTTGCTGGCTTTTACAATCCCCATCAAGAGCAAAGGGACGAAGACTAAGCTTATGAATCGGTGCCAGCGCGAGAAGGAAATTGTTTGCACTTTTCATCCGGTCGAATCAGGATTGGTTTGGGACCGTGAGATCTTTATATCCAGGTACTCGCCTGTAAATCAAGGCACGCTTAGATATTAGGGAGTAGGCTCCTGCCGGACTTTGGGGAAAGGCATCTGTAGCAGCCCTTTCTAAGTATAGACAGACGATTCAATTATGTTTTTACACGCATCCTGTGCTAGAGACCACGCACAATGCTAGCAGCCTGCAGAAAGCGGATGATGGTGGGGCTATGTGGAGACTGTGATTAAGGAACAATGTGCGAGCACAGACACATAGAAACATGCGCAAATGCAAAGTACGTGACCATCATCCCATGTATTTTTTCCCAGGAGTTTACAAAAGTTATCATTAATTAGCAATTTGTTATGTGACTTACCTGCGGTAATGGGAGAATGCTTGGCCGTTTCCCCTTTTTTTATCCAACCCTCGTAGGGGATGATGGGGGTGTCACTGTGTGGACCGGTGAAGAACACTATGCTGAGTCTGCCGTCGTCTGACTGTGACTCTGGGTTCACCACACGGTGTAGATTGGAGCTCAGTATGCCATTCGTCCACTGATACCAAATTGGAAATGGGAAGTTGTAAGTGTTATTAATGCACACTTTCGGACAAGGGAGCCTATATCGCTCTACTCAATTAATCTACATCGAGAAAGTTGCCATGTATCTACAATCAGCCATGTACATACCATTCGTGGACGACTGAAGCACAGCAGACCCTGACAGGGTTTTTATGTGCCGATTTTGACACCATGTGCAAACGTGCATTGCTCACGGGCTCAAACAATAGAGTGGGGTGCGACACGAACTGTAGCATAAATGAAATAATTTGCTGTACATTGTCTCAGCTGCTAGTGCTAACATTTAGTTCAGCATTAAGTGCCGTGATCTATATTACTCGTACTAAGTGATTGTTGGGTTTGATTGATACGTACCCTTCTCAGTGTGTCTCCTACATTGATGATGAATGCGCCTGAGAAGAAGGAATGTACCATTTTGATTAATTGAATGGGATGAAGATTTGTGAATGTATAATACACAGACCTGTCGCGGAAAACTGCATACCTCGAAATCGAAATCATAGAGTATGAAAACGTGATATCGGCAAGACACTTACTTGTGCTAAAAGGTAATATAGAGTATGTCATAGAGAGTATACAAACAAGAGAGTTGGCTATCTGTGATCGTAGTTCTGCGCTTTGGATACAAGACAACGCCCTCCGTACCACATGATACGTGGCACGTGATGTAGTAGGTGCTGCAACAATGACACACAGCATGCCAAATATCGCCCTTGTGTTGTTATTATTTGTATATCCTTGTTGAGTTCGTCGAATTTCAGACTTTCCCATTGCAGTTGCAGTGGACGGACTTGCCATTGCAGTGACCACACAATGGCTCTTATGTGACCAACTCACCTTCAATGTAGGGTACTGAGACCCATTCACCGCCGATCTGCACCTGTAGCCCTGGTACATCTTCCACTTTCAGGACTGTCAAGCACTGGTAGTCGGTGTGGGAGCCATATCTAAACACATAACCCAACCATATAGATGCGAAGATCAATTCATTGCACTGGCGCTATCTCGATTAGTAGTTGGCAACATGGACACAAAACCAAACACTTAAACTAAATGGATTGTGAGGCATAGATACATATCAACACGTGCAATCGCAACCTGAAATTACCTGATTTGGCCGGGGCTGGGTTTAGGATCCTGTTTCGGATACCAAGAGAGCTTCAGAAACCCATCAAACTTCAGGCCTTCGTAGTGCTCGTCGAAGAATGTGGGTGGTGCACCCAAAGAATGCGCTGTGAGTTGCATCATCCCTCGCACCAGCTCAGTCACAGATGCACAATACGTCTGTTAGAGTTTGGTAGAAGTGAATTGTGGACAGTTTGAACCAGGTGCATGAAATACATCTGCACGACCGCAATAAGACCCATACAGCAGTTGTTGATTCGCTCAGGTGACACGCTCGAAAAAGGTTACTGAGGATACAATTGAGATCGAGTGACCGGCTACGCGGAGAACATAGCCAGGATATAGATGAACAGATACCGAGTATCAGTGCACACAGGTACGATCTGTCGGGCTATATATACATCCACAGGAGGTGACGTATCTTCGAAAGCGTTGTGTTCACGAGATGTGTGCGAGTTCTTACACTAACGCACTTTGTACGAGAGTAGACTGACACAGTAACAGCAGCTGATGTGGCATTTGGACTCTTGTGTATACCTTGATCACTTCATTAAAGTTCCCTTCCAGTGGAACCTCGGGATCCGGGGGCCATCCGTAGTTGTGGAAGACTAAACTTTCGACGTAGTCAGCCGCCATATTGCGATCTGACTCCCCTATCACCGTTGATATATACAAGTTTTACTGTTGAACCAAAAAAAGAACATAACATATCCCGTATGCAGGTCTACGTGTAATAACAAATCATGCAACTATGAACAAATGGATGGGTATACAGACCCCAAAGTTTCACTCTGGTTCAATGTGTTTACGGTGATAACAAACCATGCACCGTGTTCATAGCACAATTGCACGTCGGCTCACACATGCTCACCTAGCGTGGCCTCAACATTTTCCTTCCCAAGCCTATTGTAGCCTGCGCCAGACCCATATCCTGTTTAATACGGGTTAGTTCGAACCAGTATGAGTATGACCCTTCATGTATTCTTTCATGGTAAAAGTGGATCAAATTGGCAATTGAAAGGGTATTATTGCAGACGTATGTGTACAAGAATCTTATGAGCTGCCTTTCTGTTGAGACTGAAAATTGGCAGAGCGTTTTAGCATTTTTCGCATTCTAAAGCCGATTTACGTTGATTCGATTTTGTTTTGTTATTCTGTTGGCGTAAAAAAATCACGCAATACTCACCGCCATCGACTGCTATTTGCTCCTTCACCTCACTTGGTTGTGCGAAGAACGTCTTTGCCAACTTCGATAGTTGTGACAACTGTTTCGCATCTACTCCGTGACCAGTGACGACTACAAACCCATACTGCCAGCAATGCAAATGCAGTGTGGGGGAAAAAGCAGTAATTTATATCTGAATAGGCTAAAGTCTAAAGTTGCACTTCTGAAGATATCCAAGTTACTGTTACAGACACTGCGACTTTCCCTTTACAGCGGAGACAACATATGCTTCTGTAGTATTTTTATATCTATAAATCGTGCCGACATCATGACGCTGGCATATTTCCGGTCCATAACAGCCTCCCCGAGCAATTGCGGTTGTGCACAGAAATATGAATATGCCATAGTTGAATTTTACGTCCAATGCACAATAAGCGTAACATATGATCTCCAGGTATAACTATAAAATATTTTCTTAGCTATCAGTAAAGAAAATACTTGCATAAACAATCGGACAAACCGCAGGTTGGACGCATATCATTAAGTGAATAATGACATTGACGTACCGTTGCATATGACCGTATATTCTATGTGTATAGTAGTCACTTAGGCAGGCAATTTAAAACTCGCGTGGAAGTACATAAATTCAAAAATACAAACACCGTCAGTAAAAAAAAAATTTAAGTTATATACTATTCACAATCAAATACATTCGGATATATACGTATATAATATATATATATATATACATATATATATATATATGTATATATATATATATACATATATATATACATATATATTATTATAATTACA